GAGCGCGCGCACTTAACCACCAAGCCACGGGGCCGGCCCAAATCACATTATTTAATATTCATTCATTTATTCAGCCAAAATATACTAAATGTCTAGTACATGCCGGGCACTGTTCTTAGCGCTAGAGATATAAACGTGGACAAAATAGACAAAGATTCTTGCTCTAGAGTTTACACGCTGTTAGGTGAAAGGCAATAAACAAATAAATGTACAAAATGTCAGGTGATATGTGCTATGGAGTAAAATAAAGCCAGGTAAGGGAGAACAGGAGCGGGTGGATGAGGGAAGATTAAGCACAGGACTATATGCCAGCTGTTAATATTTTCATTTTCTAGATGAAGAGGCTAAGCTACAGAGAAGTGACTTGCCTGAGATATTTTTCAGGCAAGTGTTTGGTTCTTAAGGTATACTATGTGCCAAACATATCTCATTCCTAATAATTATGTCTAATAATTTCTCATTTCATTATCTCCAATTTACAGATAACATGTCAAAGGCAGAAGGGTTACGCAAGGAGGCCACGCCATGCACTAGGTCACACAGTAATTAAGAGGTCAACATGGGTTAGTCCAGGTCTTCCAAGTCCACCTGCACCAGAAGGCTGCGTTCCTGCCTCTCTGCAGACAAAAGACCTGTGTGTCAGGCTCAGCAACACTTGGTCTCACAGTGGGCTCGACACAAGAACAGCTTTTCTTTTAGTGCCCTTTTCTAGGCCCCATGCTCTCGCCTTCACAGGCAGATCCAGCCTCTTCCACTAACTAGCTGTGTAGTCTTGGGCAAGTTGGTTAACCTCTCTGTCTCAGCTGCTCCATCTGTAGGTAAACTCTGCAAGTTTGACAAGAGGAGAGCACTTAGCACAAAGCCTGGCCCAAACAATAAATGTTTCCTATTGTATTGTCTACAGGCAATACAGTTGTTCAGTTGCTTCAGTGTCACAGCCACGACCCCTTCACGGGAACCTTGTCGGACACCAGAACCCACATTCTAGACTACTAAACTGAGGTCGCCTCATTAGTTCCTTTTATGATCCCTCAACCCCAGAAGGTAGGCATTAAAGTTTCCACTTTTCAACTGGGGAAACTGAGGCTCGGGAGATTAAGGAGTTTGCCCAAGGGCCCTGTCAACAGGGTAAGACAGGGGTGCTGACAACCAGGGAGGCAGTCCTCGCAGGGCTCGACCTTAGGTTCCAACTGCTCTCTGTGGGCCCTGATAGGCGACTCCAGACCGGCGCTTCTAGGCTCTCAGCCCTTGGCTGGGTCTTCAGCATGGACCGGGCCAGCTCGTGGGACCCTACTGTCCTCAGAGTGATGACCACAGGGCTTTCTTCAGAACTCTGACCGAGAGGTCTGCTCCAACTCCCTATCACTCCACTGATCCCTCTGTGCACCCACCCGCAATTCCCTTTGGTTCTGTCTTTCCCCAAGAGCTTATACCCATGAAGAGCTCATCCCAGACTAGCTTCCGCTCACACGGGCAGAGGTCCTCCTGAGGAGGCGGAGAACGACCCGTGCAGCCACGCCTACCTGCGAGGGAAGGG